CCTTCACTCTGAAATAATAATGACCAATTCTACAGCTTTTTCATGATGCATAGATCACTTTTTAAATGCCAGACAAAACCACACTGAACAATTTGCTATTAAATTGTGGCCTGAAAAAGACTGCCAGGAGCATCTACATGTATCAAATAATGCTTCAAAACAGGGTATCCATTTTTCATTGACACTGAACAAGAATCCTTGTAGGAGAGCATTATCTTAGAGTTTAAAAATCACCTGAATCAAATGGGCATGTTTTATATTTCAAAATATACAAGTATTAGAAGCACTCAAATACAGTTTGGGCCACATTATTTCTGTTTATAATGATTTTCAAACCTGATTTAATTTATCCCCGACATATTTTTGCCTGTTTGTTTTAAATATCAAAACCTGTAATTATGAAAATATGTTTTCAAAGGATAAGCATTTAAAAGCAAGTAAAAATTTCAACATACAATATTTGGTTATAATTTACAATTTAGTTCACACGTCATGTACTATAATTGATTTTCGACTAGTGTTTCTCAACCTTAGCCATTGTAAAATATATGGACTTAAAATTCCAGTCAACATAAAGAAAATGGTAAGGCTGGGAAACATTATTTTAGACCAATAATGCTAGAGAGGAGGTCATTGTATTTTCTCATTGTGGAATGCGCTATATTTTGTAACTTTGGCAAAAAGTTTCTCCTGAATAGGAGGCGGTACAACAACATATGTGGTTGAAGTGATAATAAGAACTACAGTCCCTTGATTGCTATTAGAACGAACAGGAGCTTCCTGTATTGTGTAAATGTGGTGTACGTCTAGGTTTTGTATATGTGTGTTTACATGTTTGTTAATAAAAAATAAAAAAAATATTTTAACAAAAGAACTACAGTTCCTTCTCTTTACACCCATCCCAGATTATTACTATTATTCAGAGTTTCTTTTTCCCCAGACTGGATTTCCACTGGACAGAGGTTGCCCCTTCTTCCCCAGAATGCCTTCACATGAGAATTTTAGATAATATACCAAATTCTCATGATATATTAACTATGCCTGGTCTATTTTATTTATTCTTGACTCCTGAAAATAATAATTTCCAGTTCTCTATAAATCCCCAAATTATATTAAATGTCTCCAAAGATACTGTTTTATGAATTATCACAACCCAATCCTTCAGAACCCAGTCTCCAAACAAAAGGGCTTCTACAATCAGGGGTAATATATTAGCTACTTAGATTGCAATCAATAAACTTGTTCTCGGGAATAAACTGTGCCGAATTCAGGGCAATTTACTTGTGAATAGAATTGCATAGATTATGAGGCAAAAACCTAGCTAGTCTTCTACAGTTCCAATATTATTTAGCATGAACTTTCCTTTTCATTTTAATATATTTCGGGAAGTGCTATATAGTGTTTCATTAGGTTTTCATCTCTAGAAACAATTTAATAGTACTCACCAACCAATCCCTGCTGTCAATCACACATAAAAAGATATCTCATCCCATACCTTTCTCTTTGAATAGGCTATGATGGAAGCACCCAAAGACACAAAGCTATGATTGGTCAGGCATTCAAGTGATCAATGGAATGAATAAGTCCTTCTTGTCACACTTCTCCCATGCAAGTACAGAGGAAATGAAGGGAAAAAATCTCACCTCCTAAATTTTTGCTGGTCAGGTAAGTGTTAATTTCATGGGGCGGGGAACAGCCAACTTTACTAGCTTCTGGCTGTACTAAATTCTTCCTTTTATCCCCTTCTCACCCAGAAACCTTTAAAGCACACCACAAGCCTGTGCAAGCCAGCTCCACCCTTTGGACTTTGCATCTCGAAAAATTAAACAAAGCAAAAGAATTATGGCCTATTCATTCATTATCTAACAACACTGACCTTTTTTTCCTCCAGTATTTAGACCCGTTCCTTTAAAAAGAACTGGAAAATTATAGCCATTGTTTAGCTTTGTTTGGGGATACACCCTTACCTCTATAAATTAGTTTATGATTTAGCACAATTGGACAGGGAAGTAGAGATGCCCTTGCAGTTCCCATATAAAAGTGCAATGTTCCTATATCAGCCACCCACATGTCCTTTCTTCTATCTTTAGTACCTAAGTGCTACAGTAGGGCTAATAAAGGAATAGTCTAAAGATATACAGAGAACCTTGTAGCCACTCAAAATTTCCCATTGTCAATCACCCGGCCGCCATTACAACAATGCTGTTCCGGTAAAGTTTACTATTAGGCATTAATTACATGTTATATTTAGGTTCAGGGAAGGGTGGTTAGCTAAATTGCTAACCACCCTTCAGAGTTAGCAATTTAGCATCCTTAGCCAGCCTTTATAACAAGTCATTTTGGGATGCTAAACTAAAGGAGAGTAACTGATTTCAAAAAGGCAATGTACAGTAGGCCCTTATGACAAAAGGTTTTTTTTTCCTTTTTATTGTTTATAAGTCTTGATGCATTATATTTTTTTCAAAACTATACTTATACAGTATTTCTGTTTTATAGTATTATCTATTGCTTAGATAAAGCAGAGTACTAGACATAGAGAAGAAAAGAAGTACTTTATCAGTATTAATTACAATTTAGGAATGTATATTAAAGATGTGCGATTTGATTTTTTTTTTCATACAAAGCTAAGGTTTGGAAGAAGAAAAAGATGATTACCTCAAAGTGTTATATGCACTGTAGGTTTTGGTTTTGAGCAGAACATTGAAGTCTATACACACAGATACCCACAAGGTTAAGAAAAACAGATCAGCAAATTATATTTAAGAATAAATCACCAGAAGGACACAATTTAAACCAAGTTTCCCAAGTCCCAACCATTGGGAGACCATGGCATCATGGCTAATGCATGTAGCTCTCGACTTACAACCACAATTGAGCTCCAAAATTCTGTTTTTAAGTAGGTTTTGCCCCATTTTACAACTTTTCTTACCAGTTAAGTGAATCACTGCAGTTGACAAGTTAGCAACCCAGTTGTGAGCAACCCAGTTGTGAGCAACCCAGTTGTTAGCAACCCAGTTGTTAGCAACCCAGTTGTTAAGTGAATCTGGCTTCCCCATTGACTTTGCTTGTCAAAAGGTCACAAAAGGTGATCACACGACCTTGGGACACAGCAACGGTCATAAATATGAACCAGTTTGCCAAGCATCTGAACTTTGATCACATGATCACTGGGAATGCCGCAAAGGTTGAAAAACGGTCATAAGTCACATTTTTCAGTGTCATTGTAATTTTGGTCATTAAATGAACTGTTGTAAACCAAGGACTACCTTCATTAAGGTTGCTGGTTGTACAAAGGCAAGTCGCTTAATTCCATTAAGTAAATCAGTAACTAATCAGTTATAACAGTCTATCCAGGCACAGAGTCTCACTGAAAAGTTCAGCCTCTCCACCAAATCCAAGCTAGAATACTGCATCCAGTTTTGGTCACCATGCTATAAAAAAGATGGGTAGACTCTAGAAAGAGTGCAGAGAAGAGCAACAAAGCTGATTAGGGGACTGGAGACTAAAACATATGATGAACGATTGCAGGAACTGGGCATGTCTAGTCTAGTGAAGAGAAGGACCAAGGGAGACAGGATATCAGTCTTCCAATATATGAGGGGCTGCCACAGAGAGGAGGGGGTCAAGCTATTTTTCCAAAGCACCTGAAGGACAGACAAAGAATAATGGATGGAAACTGACCAAGGAGAGATTCAACCTAGAAATAAGGAGGAATTTTCCTAACAGTGAGAGCAATCAACCAATGGAACAGAAGTTGCCTTCAGAAGTGGTGGGGGCTTAATCACTGGAAACTTTCAAGAAGAGACTCTGGACTGCCATCTGTCAGAAATGGTGTAGAGTCTCCTACTTGGCCAGTGGGGTTGGACTAGATGACCTACAAGATCCCTTCCAACTCTGTTAATCTGTTCAAAATACACCGTAAAAGTGGGGTCCACTTTCTGGTATTTCCATCCAGCAGCTCTCAGGGAACCTGCCGTGATAGTACAGGCATGAAAAACGTATTTCTTGACGATCCCACCAAACCCCAATTTAGTAATTTTGTAAACGGGGAGGGAAAAAAACAAAATCCGATCAAAATAGGAGAAAATCAACCTCGGGGTGGGGGAGAGACTTAGAAATGTCTCAAGACCGCTAAACCTTAAGTTTCATTCATTCTTAGTTGCAACCGCCCACATGAGTCCCGCTTCGGTCGGTTCTGAACTCTTCTGCGAGTGGGCGGGGCCCTTTCATTCCTCTCCGGGACGCAGCCACAGGATCCGCTTGCACGTGTTCCCCTCAGAAAAAGGCTTACTTTCCCCTTCCCCACGAACGATACAAACGTGAAATTGACAACTCACAGAACAAGCCCCCCGAGGCTGTTAATCAGACACTTAATTTCAGGAAAAGGGTTTCGGGTTTCCCCATGGCAGGCAGGACTATATAACTCCCGGCTCTCCAAGGCGACGCGGTTATTTGCATAGCCGAAGGCTGGGACCTCTTTGCGCATTTTCTTCCTTTTTTTCCTCCCCCCAGAAAGCATTCTTCGAGCTGAGGCAGGTGTTTCAAAACCTGAAGCTGAGCAAAGAAGCCAAGCAAGCTTAAAACTACTAGTCCCTGCATGCTAGAGAAAAGGAAAATGGTCTCGCCAGTGCAAAATGGATTCTGGGAGTTGTAGTGCTAATATTTCCGGACTGTTCTTTCAAGGAAATACTACAAAGGACACATAACTCTCATTAATGCTTAGGTCGAAAGCGATGGGTGCTTTGAGGGGGTTGGCTTGTACAATGGCTTCATGGCAACATTTCATATTATCAGAGTGAAAAGACTATTACTGATTCTCCTTTTTAAAAAAACAAAATCTGCAGACATTATTCTCAGGAGTGACAGACTTTTAAAAATGTCTGGTATTTTAATTTAATGGATCTTTTCAAGATACAACCATCAAGCCATTAGTTGTAAGTAAATAGATTAATTTAAACTTTAAAAGCCCAATGCTTTGCTCTTATAGATTCTATACTTACAGAATCACAGGGCTGGAAGGGAGTCTGGAGGTCTTCTGATCTAGTAGAGTAGAAGTTGTTTCTTTTGTTACCACATTTCTTTCCCACTCTCGTGTTGCAAGAAACTTTTGAAAGAGAAACAGAGGCAGTATGCTGATGAAGATGCTCTTTTTATAGTTGACACTGTAGGAAGTTAGCACCCACCCCTCTCCTAGAAAAATGAAANAGAGTATTTTAACACAAGAGCAAGTATTTGTGCTGTGAATTGTGTTGTAAGCAGAGGTTGTATTTAGCTGGTTCGGACTGGTTCACCTGAGCCAGCAGCAGAAATCATGGCCCCAGGTCTATGCCGTCCTATTTAGGCACCTTTTTGAGGCCGAGTGTATGCGTCAAAGGTGCACATGCTAGTAAAGTGCATGCGTGGAAGGTGCGCATGTGCCCATGAAGTGAGCGGGCGCATGCGTGGCGAACTGGTAGTAACTAAATGTGAAATCCACCGCTGATTGTAAGCTATCGAGTGGGATAATATACATTGCAACTCCAGTTTGAATTATATGCTGCATTTAATGTTTTCCAACAGACTTTTGACCACATTTCAGTAGTAAAGCTATAGGGTAGACTTGGAGTCACATCAATTGGCTGTTGTTTACTTGCTCTTATTGATAAGATACTTTTAGTATTTTCATATATTGTAAGATGTAACATTGTTGGTTACAAGTTTGACTGTTTAATTATAGAAAAGAGGTAAAACCAGAATGTTTGTTGTCCTATTGGTCTGTAATTTCTATATTTATCCAGACTGAAAACATGCAAAAATAGAATTTAATCCCCTTAAATTGCAAATAAATATATCCCAGTGGAGTAATATACAGATAGTGCATTTCATCACATACATCTTTGAGTGTGGCTTTTTTAAACTAGCCACAATGTTTATACAGGTAGTCCTCAATTAACAACAGTTCATTTTGTGACCATTCAAAGTTACAATGGCACCAAAAAATGTAACTTTTGACCGTTTTCAAAGTTATGGTCTTTGTAGCATCCCCATGATCATGTGATTAAAATGATGCTTGGCAAATGGATCATACTTATGACCGTTGCTGTGTTCCAAGGTCATGTGATCACCTTTTGCTACCTTCTGACAGATTCACTTAACAAATGGGTTACTAATTTATCAACTGCAATGTTTCCCTTAACAACTGTGGCAAGAAAGGTCGTAAAATGGGGCAAAATTCAGTTAACAGATGTGTCATTTAGGGAAAACTGCACCTATTGCTTAACAAGCATTGGTTCACTTAACAACAGTGGTGATTTGTTTAAGGACCACCACAAAAAGGTTGTAAAAATGAGTTGTTCAAGTGACCAACCCATGTTATGCCTGTCACAAGTTACAAAACATGAAGGGCAGGTTCCATTATGGTTGCAACTTGAGGACTACTTATACAATCCAGGTTGTGATAAAAAGGTTTTTCAGGCAGGAAATGGTGTCTCAAATGCAGCACTTTGATTAGAAGCAAATTGAAAAAGACAGAGTCCAACTTGGCTAAGAATAATTAATTTTTGGCTTAAGAAGAGCTTGTGCCTACAGCTGCCCTGATCACTTCCTGACTTCCAGTGTAGAAGAATAGAATGATTTGCATTGGGTTTGCCCCATAGATGCTTCTGAGTGTGGCATATGATAAAAGTAAGGTACTGCTAAGACAGAAGATAATTGCTATTGACATAGAGATAGAGCATAATAGAATCACTACTGATGTAATAATTGGAAAAGGGATGTTCAAACCCCAGGTGACAAAATATTTGGAACATCTTCCTCTAGCAAAATAGCATAGAGCATTTACCTTGGCTCAGTTTAATATCCTTTCCTCAGCAATTGTGGAAGGTAGGTATGTAAAAAAATGCGCTATTTCAAAAGACTTTGCCCTTGTGAAGTAAACATCATTGACGTGCTGGCCGACTGGCTCACGTTCTTCTACATGGTTCCTTTTTAAGGATTTTTGGCAATACCGTATTTTCACGACCAAAAGCCGCACCGGATTATAAGCCNCCACTCTCGTGTTGCAAGAAACTTTTGAAAGAGAAACAGAGGCAGTATGCTGATGAAGATGCTCTTTTTATAGTTGACACTGTAGGAAGTTAGCACCCACCCCTCTCCTAGAAAAATGAAATATTTTAGGAAATATTAAAAGGGCAGAATATTTCCCCTAAAAGGGAGGCAGAAATTCAGGCCTCCCCCCCACCTTTGTGAAGGCCTGGGCCAGTCTGTTCTACATAACAAAGATCTACCTCCTTCAGGCAGAGCCTGAATCCTGAAGCCCTTTCATTACATCATCACCTAGCAAGAGTCAACCAAGCTTGGGACTCAAGGCAGCTTACAGAGTTGCCCCTGCTTGGCCCCTTCTGACAACCAATCAGAATACAAGCTCAAATTCAAAAACCCAGAGGAGGCATAAAATGTAGGTACTCTCAGCATCTCTCCCCATTTTTGCCCAGCATCTCAAGCCATGTAGTCCTGTCTATCATCAATAAACCTTCTTTCCAAGCAACGACCATGAATCCAGTGTCTTTTTCTCCACTTGGAACTGAACCCAGAAGGATTGTTCTTCCAACAACACTATGACAAAACCTTCCCCATCACATCCCCATCTCTCTATGGAGGGGTAAGATGGGGCAGTTTAATTCAGAGCAATTATCCCTTTGGGTTTAGACCGGGGTGTCAAACCTAGGGAACTTTAAGATTTGTGGACTTCAACTCCCAGAATCCCCAGCCAGCCAATTCTGGCAGTTGAAGTCCACAAGTTTTAAAGTTGCCAAGGTTGGACACCTCTCCTGATTTAGACTTATCAGGATATAAAGTTCAATAATCTCTCAATAATCTCTCTCCTAGGCTGCTGGAGATTTTCCATCTGGTGCCACGGCTCCCCTTTAACCCACTTCATTATATTGTAATGGATGGGAAAGCTCCGTTGATAAGAGTAACCCCATCTCTCATGAAGCCTCCTTCAGTTCCATAGCCAAAGCTGTACTTCTTACTCTCTGCTCAGCATTAGGCTGCTCCATTCCTCTGAAGCACCCTGAAATTTAGTACTATAAGTACTCTACTGTCTGTACAAAATATTTTTTTATTTGGTATCAGTGGTGCTGTTCAGCCGTTTCTATCGGGCGAACCAGTAGCAGCAGTGGCGGGAGGCTCCAACCATCCCCCAAACATCATCACGGACACTCTGCGCATACGCAGAAGGTTCTGCACATGCACAGAAGCTCCGCAAGAGCACTCCCAGTTCCAAACCAGTAGTGAAGATAAGCGAAAACCATTACTGGGCTCCCCACCCACCTACTCGGACACCATCACGTCCTGTTTTGACGCTCTCCACATGCACATTCACATTTGCGAGCCGGTAGCGAAGGTAAGTGAATACCACCTCTGTGTGGTATGTGACATAAACTCAGTCAATTTGGATTAACTCAATTCTGGACCTCTTCCCACAACATGCTGCTGCTCAGTGTCTGCTTAATGTCTGGCTCCTGTGAGAGATTAAAAAAGGAAGGTGGGCTTTGTTCAAGATGACTCTCACCCTATGGTGCCCCAGAGGTGTTCTTGATTTTATCAGTTTGACTGCCAAAAAATAATAATCACAATAGCAGAGTGACTACATAATCAAAGTTCTGCTTCTTTCCCATGTGGCACACATAAATTAAAATTTTCAGTCCATCGCCCTCATCACCACAGATGTCCTGCTTCCGGCATTCCAGCAGGCACTGAAAACCAATGTTCTTCAGCAAGCTTTAAATTCTAGCAAAAGAACAATAGGTGACTTTTAATTGTCTTTATTTCTTTCAGTTATGCTTTTGGTATGCTTTAGTGATTTTAATGAGGGTTCATGTAGGGTTATTTTTGGAGATGTTGCGCTTTATGAATGGCTTTATTGCTCAATGCAAGAGGTAACTGATTGGGGCAACATGGAAATGATGTGAAGTAACAAATTAATACATAATCTGCACCATTACCAGTGCATCACATCAGAGAGATCCCTTCATAGACTATATCATGCCAGGAAAAGGGAGAGTACTTAAATTCAGTCCTATTCCTGAATAGGACTGAATAGGAATAGGACTGAATTACACTATGAAGAATTACAATAATTGAAATGTGGAAACAAACAAAGCTTAAATGGCCACAGGTCACAATATCTACTGAAACAAACTCTCTCCTTTTGTTCTCCTCAGCTTCTTTGAAGACCACCGCTACTTATTTCTTGGTTGTATGTGCATCAACCCATAATTAGCTAATCATCGTTTATGTTTTGTGTAAACCCAACTGGTTCATTGTCTTTTGATATCAAATCTTGGTTACCTTAAAGATAGGTAGTTGTGTCACCACGACTCTGAGGATTATGCTTCTCACCCAAAGCTCTATCACATGTGCAATTCTTTACAAACAATTGAGACAAATGTTGTCAAAGTATATGACTACAGTACCTAGATTTTCATTACTGAAGACTACACTTCAACACAAATGGAGTTTAAAAGCAGGAGTAGGCAAAGCAATAGTACAAAATAGAGCTTAGGTTTTTATTCTCTCACACATTTTTGCATTTAAACAGTTAACATTAATGTAGACTTTCCATTATTTCTGTGTGTAAGGTAAAGATAAAGGTTCCCCTTGCACGTAGGTGCTAGTTGTCCCTGACTCTAGGGGGCAGTGCTCATTTCCGTTTCAAAGACGAAGAGCCAGCGCTGTCCAAAGACGTCCCCGTGGTCATGTGGCTGGCATGGCTAAACACTGAAGGCGCACGGAATGCTTTTACCTTCCCACCAAAGGTGGTTCCTATTTTTCTACTTGCATTTTTACATGCTTTCGAACTGCTGGGTTGACAGAAGCTAGGACAAGAGCTCACTCCATTACCCGGTGCTAGGGATTCGAACCGCTGAACTGCTGACCTCCTGATCGACAAGCTCAGCGTCTTAGTCACTAAGCCACCACGTCCCTTGTTTCTTGTGTGTACGGTACTGCTTTGCTTGGAAAAAAAAAACTGTCACTGAAATTCAACAATGCAATTTAAGAAAACCTTGGGAGTCCCAAAATAGGATATGTGATGCTTAATGCAGTTCTACAGTTGCAGTTCATCAGCTCATGCTTTCAGTGGAAGTGGTGGGTTCAGTTTCTTAAGCTTCCTAAATTGGTGCTATTTCAGTTTCCAGTGTCTGGGATAGCAATTGTGTGGTCTCTTCAGATGATGCAACTGTCTCCTTGAAAAGCGGCTGCTTGCAGAAGGCCAGTTTGTATATATTTCTCATGATTTTTAGTGGGCATTCCTTTGTATTTAAAAAAAAATGAAATAAGCTAACGCTTCTTTCCTCTTGTAGTACACTTCTCATGTTTGCTCTTACTGTGATGTTCAAATCCCCAAGGGATTTCTTTTATTTCTTTTAAGAATGGTTAAATAAATATAAGAAGCTCTTTTGTGTTTTACCCATTCTCACCTACACCATTTTCAGTGAAAGCTTTATTCTTTGCTATTGCCACCAAGACAAATGAAATCTTTTTATATGTAAAAATGCACCAGTGTCTCTCATTTGCTTAATAATAGTTGCAAACATCTGAGGACAAAACAAAGCTAATCAGTGTCGCATATTGATTTAGCTGCTCCTTGTCTCTCTTGTTAGGTATTTTTATTTGGAAAAGCAGAAGTCACACATGCAGAGCAATTTTTAGAAGAAAGCCTTAAAACCACAGATCTAAGAAACATTTAATGGCCTGTAAAATATTGTTGAATATGTTGGAAGAAATGTCCATCTGGGTTCAGTTCCAAAAGGGGGGAAAGACACTGGAAACATGGAGGCTGTTTGGAAAGATGGTTTAATGGACAGGATCACATGGCTTGAGTTCCTGAACAGAAAAGGGGATCACATGCTTCAAGATGTTGGGTGAAGAAGAAAAAAAGGCAGAGATGCTGAAAGTCCCTGGTTTTATGCCCTCTCTGGGCTTTGAATTTGAGCTTGTATTCTGATAGGTTGTCAGACTTCCAAGGGGCCAGGCAGAGGCAACTCTGTAGGCTGTGTTTCGAGTCCAAGTTTGGTTGAGCATTGTTTCTTCCCAGGTGCCATGTAATGAGATCAGTAGAGGGTTAATCCTACCTTCATAATAAAGACTGAGACATGGCTCAGGCCTTAATGGCTCATTCACAAAGGTGGGGGGCGCTGAGTTTCTGCCTCTTTTGAGTTTCTACTTCTCTCTTTGGGGGAAATATTCTGCCTTTTTAATATTTCCTAAAATATTTCATTTCTCTAGGAGAGGGGTGGCTTTTAATGTCCAACAAATGCTATTATGATATATGATGTGAGATATGTATATAAGAAAAGCAAACAACCATTCCACCCCATATCCTATTTATATAGTCCTTTCCCCCATCTGCTGGGTAGACAATAAGTGGTGGAATTATTTATATAGTTTTTGTGGGCCTACACTGTATATATTTCTTTAAAAAAAACCTAACGTAGGCAAATTTGCTCATAAGCAGAGTAAAATATTAAAGGGTTTGAACTGAGACAGCTTCTGCATGACGAGGTCTCCAGACTAATTGATTCATGCATACAGGAAAGAGATTCTTTGTTTCAATCTGTTCTATTCCCTTTTTAAATATTTATTTTTTCAGATTTAAAGTCTGTTGCACCTAATGTCTTAGCTGGAGCAAGTTATAAATATATATATTTATTACGTTACTCTTAGAGCTGTTGGTGAAATACATTCTTTGTTCCAAAACCAAAACTTAAACCTAAGAAAACAAAAAGAAAAAGGGAAACATTGTATTCATACAGAAAAAAAATTGAAACAGTTTGCAGTTTAAAAAAAAAAATCATATTTATATTTCATCAGACTGTAGCATCCTAGTACGTTTCACACATAGTGCAATTGTGAAAATATTAAGGATGTATTTCAGTGCAAAAATGGTAAAGAGTAATTGGTTGAAGTAACATACTGAAATTGATTGACATATTTTATATTCTGATGAAAGCTTTTCATTCTGATAATGTGCAGACAGCTGATGTTATCCAGACATCTGAGTTATAACAAATATTAATAGGTAATCTAGCCAAATAAATATCTTTGGGTAGATGGTGTATTTCCAATCCATAAAAAACAGAACAGGTTATAAGGAGAAGAAATAACATTTGTGAGAGTTGCATGATAGGAAAATGGCTTGGTGTGGCTTTTATAGAACAAGTATTTGCTGGGTCAGAAAACAAATCTCTTCTCTTCATATCAATCTCCTGGCAAATACCAAGATGGAAGACAATGTATAAAGATGCACATTGTATCAGTTATTTATCTAAATGCAGACGTAATATTCTGCCGGTTCAGATCGGTTCGCCCAAACTGGTAGCGGAAATCGTGGGTGGCCCTGCCACCCGTCCTGGCTCTATGGCATCCCATTTAGGCACTTTTTTTTAACCATACACGGAAAACTGAACGCATGCGCAGACGCGCACATGCTCACATTTGTGAACTGGTAGGGAAAGTAAGTGAATGCCACCCCTGTCTAAATGTGTTATGATATTTATATCAGAAAACTGGATATGAGAAGGAATGAGTTTAGATGGGTATTATTCAACTGTCCTACCAGCAATTGTGAGTGAAATTAGGAGAAGCCCAATGGAGAGTTAGGAAAATTGATTTATTCCAAATTTTGTGTTTCATGTATTAAACTGCCCCTCAAAGACTGATAGCCAGGCACTAGTTTTTATATTTAAACATATTAGTGAATGCATATCTTTCTCCCAACACTACTAAAGCACAAATTTATTATTATTGCTGCTCTTGGGAGACCTATTTGGACAACTTGATAATGGGCTATCAGGAAGCTTAAACAGGAGGTAGTGATTTTAATGCTAGACTAGGAATGAATGAAATGGAAATTCCAGCAATATTCACCTCCCTCATAGAATGGGTTGGGAGCCTGTTTTCATTGGCAGAGCGCTCAGGCCGGGACAGGCAACCCCAACATGAGTGACATCAAGCTATCCACACCCACCCCAGCCCCCTGAGGTCAAACACAACCCTGATGTGTCTTCAATGAAATCAAGTTTGACATCCCTGCCTTAGACTCTTTGGATAGTTTACATAGCATGTTGCATCCATGACTACATTTAGGGTGAATTGTTGCTTAAAAGCCATTTACTTGTGATGCTAAGGTTTCAGTTCAGANGACGAGATCAAGCTGTTTTCCAAGGCACCTGAAGGCCAGACAAGGAGTAATGGATGGAAACTTATCAAGGAGAAATTCAACCTAGAAATAAGGAGAAATTTTCTGACAGTGAGAACAATCAACCAATGGAACAGAAGTTGCCTGCAGAAGTTGTCGGAACTTCATCACTGGAGGTTTTCAGGAAGAGATTGGACTGCCATTTGTCGGAAATGGTGTAGGGTAGTAATGGCTAATCATTTGGGTGTTTGTGCGTGCTAAAAGTGTGAGCATGAGCGACAACGGACATGCACCCCTGCACCAGAGGTGATATTCAGCAGGTTCTGACCCATTCTGGAGAACCAGTAGTGGAAATTTTGAGTAGTTCAGAGAACTGGTAAATACCATTCTGACTGGCCATGCCCCCATCTATTCTCTGCCTCCCGGGTCCCAGCTGATTGGGAGGGAATGGAGATTTTACAGTACCCTTCACCTGCCCATGCCCATCAACCCATGCCACACCCACCAAGCCACACCCACGGAACCGGTAAAAAATTTGAATCCCACCACGGCCCCACACACATAATGCAATGCATGTGCAAACCCCCCTGCACATATGTGCATGGTTCCCCCCTGCTCCCTCGCCCCCGTACATGCACCCTCCCCCATCATCCAATTTTGGCTTCCAGGTTGGTACAGGAGGCTTTCCAGGTGCAAAATGGGGTGCGGGGGGGCTCACATGGCACCCTCATGCCCAATTCTGGCTTCCAGGTTGGTGCAGGCCTGGAAGGCCTCCTGCACCAACTTGGAAGCAAAAACAGAGTGCAGAGATGCTGCGTGAGGTCCCAAAATGCAAAGTGAGCATCCTCTGCACATGTGTCCCGCCTCCCGTGCATGCACGTGCGCGTCCCCCATATATGGCCCACTCCCCCAACACATGCACGGCAGAGACCTGAAGACCAGCTGGCTGACAAAAGGCGCACAAGCATGTGTGGTGGAGCTGAGCTGGGGCAAGGGCTGGCATACCTGCAGAGAGTGCTCTGTGTGCCACAGGTGGCATAGGTTCCCCATCACAGGTGTAGGGTCTCCTGCTTGGGTGGGGGGTTGGACTAGATGACCTACAACAGGTCCCTCCTGTTAATCTGTTTCCAAATCTGCCCCGTAGCCCCCAAAGAGAGTGGAGCATCGCTAATTTCTTAGATTTTGGGATCACAGAAGAGCAAAAAATGTAAACAGTTGGGATATAAAGATTTGTAACAAACATAAAAATGATTTTATATGTACCTTAATCTTTGGCTGGGAGCCTCCCAGAGTTGCTTGAAAGGTGGGCAGCTGTATCAATGTTTTAAATAAATAAATTTAAATCATTATCCTACAGGATCACATTTTGCAGAACTGAGGAGCCCCTTTCTCTTCCAGTGGGAATGTTTGCTTGCTGGAACTACGAGTCCTAAATCTGTGAATTTTCCCAAGCTTTTCTTAATGGGGCAGGGCAGGCGC